GGCATTTCTCCCCATGCTATCTCTCACCTTTTCATTACCTTTTTAAAAAGTATTGTTTCAATTAGATAGTGTTCTTTCGAACACAGAGCATATGTGTTATAGAGCTCTGCATCTCTCCTCTTGGGTATTTCTATTTTTTTTTTTTTGAGACAGGGTGTCACTCTGTCGCCTAAGCCGTAATGCAGTTTGCTCTCACGGCTCACTGCAACCTCAATCTCCCAGGCTCAAGCGATCCTCCTGCCTCAGCCTTCCTTGTAGCTGGGACTACGGGCACACAGCACCACACCTGGCTAATATTTTAATATTTTGTAGAGACAGTCTCGCCGTGTTGCCCAGGCTGGTCTTGAACTCTTGGGCTTAAGCAGTCCTCTCGCCTTGGCCTCCCAAAGTGTTGGGATTACAGGTGTGAGCCACAGTGCCCAGCCTTCTTGGGTACTTCTAGCAGAAACAGGGCACTATGCTTGAGTAACCATCCCCAGAGTTTCTTTTAATTATCTTCATGGATGTTCTGGTATAGCTTTTTATTATAGTATGTACTAACAGATGAAAGTACTTTTTTAGTCTTCTAGGAATTAGTGGAATTAATTCGATCGAGGAATGTTAGGACTGTAAAGATCTTTTATAGATCATTTATATAATTCCCGATCTTTTAGGTTGATCATCTGGTTTCTCATACTCAAGGTGTGGCCGTTAATTGCAGCATGGGCATCACCTGGGGGTGGAATCGCAGGCCTCCCTCAGACCTGTGAATCAGAACCTGCATTGAAAGAAGATCCTAAGATCACCTGCATGCACAAAGTTTGGAGAAGTTCTGCTCAAAATTGACTACCCATTTGACTCTTGAGAAAACTGGGAAAATCAGAGAGTTGCCAAGAGTCACACAACTGTTTATTTCAGTGGTTCCCGACTTCGGTTACATCTTGGGATTACTTGGGGACCTTTAAAAAAGTACTGAGGCTTGGGTCCCATCTCCAGACATTCTGACTTAATTGCTCTGGGTGTCAGAGTTTTGGAGATCTCACTAGATAACTAGCTAAGGCTGAGGACCATCGATTTGGTTAATGATGGAATACAGGTTTCTTGATGCTCTAATCTAGTATTCCCTTCACTCCACCAGGGCTATACATTCAGAAACAATGAAAAACATCCTACGAAGTTTTTACAGTAATGCACCACTCCATTTCATTTCCTTTATATATTTACCCCTATGGGAGAGTATCCCATTTACCATCTGCTTTCCCTCCACTGGAATGTACCTCCAGGAGGACAGGACCTTTGTCTGTCCTGTTCATTGCTGTGTCCCAGCTCCTGAACAGTGTCTGGCACATGTTAGGTGCTCCTTTAATAGCTGTAGAACAAATGGAAGGAGTACCCTAAAGAAGGATGTGTTCTGTGAGAGGAAAACACAGGCCACTCCAAAGGCCCCACCGGGACTGCCTAACCCTATGGGTGAGAGGCTTCCTGAAGGGTGAGGAGTCTGAGTTGAAGAGTCAGCAGGGAGGCGCTTGAAGACTTGTTTCTCAGGAAGGACTCGAACCCAGATCTTTCTGACTTGAAAGCTTGTGCTTTTCCATTCCACTGTTATCCTGTGGACAGAGTGGCTCACTGATTTGCTCAGACTTCTCAGCAGTGAGTGGTGTCCTGGGACACCACCACCATGGCTCTGCAGGTGCTTAAGGCCAGCATGCCTCCCTCTGTGGCAGAGCTGCCCCAGCATAGCAAACAGGCACTTAGAGGGAGATCAGAACACTGTGAAAGAAAGCTCCTGGCCCAGTATCTGGCACAGGGTCATCTAATACAAGGTAGCCATTTCTTAATGTAAGTTTTTATGCTTTGGCTTACTTGTTTTGAGAACCTATGGTTTTCCAAGATAGAACGACTTGATTTCAGTTTTGACTTAACGTTTCTTTCCTAGTGAACTATGGAGACATTATTATGCAGTGCTGTGGAGAAAGCATGATTGGTTTTTGTCTATGATATTTCTGTGACATATGTTATTTTAGTGCCCAGTTCTTCCTATTATTTCATATATTGTCAGACTTGGAAGTTGGGTATAAAAATCCTTTTTTATGAAGCTACTCATTAGTGTGTCCCACTGAACCTAAGTGACCATTGTTAAGATATCTCAAATGGTAATCATATCATCAGTTTTTGATAATAGGAAGCCAGGAAGTGTTAAGCCTTGAATGTAAGACATTATTTTTAACGGCATAACATTTCAAATTTTAATTCAGAAACTGAATTAAAATGAGATATTATATTCATGCGATTAGTGGGCTGTTGCTGGCGACTCTTGGAAATGTTACAAGTGCTGCTGACATCTCCCCTTTTGGAAATCTTCCCATCAGCTACTTTTCCTAATGTACGATAATTCCATGCCCACAGTCATAGGTAGAAAGTAATGTTGAATTTTCCAAAGGATACATGAAATCTGAGCCTTGTCTAGTTTATAGGTGAATCCTTGGACATGGCTATTACCACAGATGATACCATAGTTAACTACTTGTTTTGTTTTTGTGTCAGGGCCTCACTCTGTCACCCAAGCTACAGTCAGTGGCACTGTCATGGCTCACATCTGGCTCAAATTCCTGGGCTCAAGTGATCCTCCCACCTCTGTCTCCCAAGTAGGTAGGAATTGGTTAAATCAAATAGGAGAGGGAAGCAGTCCTAGAACAAGAATTTTACAGAAATAGAAAAGAAAGAATTAAGGAGCTCATGGTTATCCTGGTAGCTAGGAGTCACATTATAGTGAAGGACTTTATATGGATGCTGAAAATTGACTTCTGAAGCACTTGATCATGGACATAAGGGAGAGGAAAATTAAAAATTTATGGAGGTCAACGTTAGTCATATTTCAACACTTTTGGCATAAAAAACTCAGGTGTGGTAGCTCATGCCTGTAATCCTAGCATTTTGGAAGGCCAAGGCCAGTGAATCATTTGAGGTCAGGAATTCGAGACCAGCCTAGCCAATATGGTGAAACCCCATCTCTACTAAAAATACAAAAATTAGCCAGGCGTGGTAGCAGGCATCTGTAGTTTCAGCTACTCAGGAGGCTGAGGCAGGAGAATCAGTTGAACCTGGGAGGTAGAGGTTGCAGTGAGCCGAAATTGTGCCACTATACTCCAGCCTGGGCAACAGAGTGAGACTGTCTCAAAACAAAAACAGAAACAGAAACACCAACAACTGATAAATAACTCAGGCAATCCTGTTTGTTCTTAGAAAACATTAACGTGGTTAAAGATCATCCTCATTAACTGTGGTAACAATAGTGTTTTGTATTTGGGTGGTGCTTTTGAATTGAAAGGGCTTGGATGTGTGTTACCTAACCCCCACTCCTGCCTGAGAGATAGGAGAGAGAAGTATCGACTCTCTCTTTTTGGACGAGATAATATAGAGAGGCTGAATTACTTTTCCAAGGATGGCTAGTAAGTGGTAGAACTGAACTCTTTAAATTTTATTTTATTTTAATTAATTTTTTGAGACAGGGTTTCAGTCTGTCATCCAGGCTGGAGTGCAGGGGCATGATTATGGCTCACTGCAGCCTCGAATTCCCGGGTTCCAGCAATCCTCCTACCTCAGCCCTCCAAGTATCTGGAACCACAGGTGTGTGCCACCATGCCCAGCTTATTTTTGTATTTTTGGTAGAGATGAAGTTTTGCCATGTTACCCAGGCTGGTCTTTAACTCCTAAGCCCAAGTAATCCACCTGCCTTGGCTCCCCAAAGTGCTGGGATTACAGGCATGAGCCACTGAATTATTTATTGTTATTATTTTTAAAGATGAGGCCTTGCTCTGTTGCCCAGACTGGAGTGTAGTGGTGTTACCATGGTTCACTGCAGCCTCAAAACTCCTGGGCTCAGGTGATCTTCCTACCACAGCCTCCTGAGTAGCTGAGACAACAGGCACAAGCCACCAGGCCTGGTAGATTTTTAAATATAAAATGTTGAGGGTGGCTGTTGAACTTGTAAACTGTCTTTGGTTTTCTAAGTGTATAAATATGTGGTTTATAATGTAGGATGAATAATGTAAAATTTTATTTAATACTGCAACCAAACAAAAAAGATATTTTTAGGACTGAAAATAATTGGCTGTCAAGGTTTAAAACATTTCCTCCTCTTCTTTTTTTTTTTTAGGTTACCTCTGTGTAGGTTTTTATGTGAAATCTTTCATTTTATCTGAGTGAAGCAGCCAGAGAGAGACCTTGTTTCTTTCTTGTTGAGTTGCCCTTGACTGACTTCACATGCCCTAATGCTAGTTGGCACTCTGCACGGTTTTTTTGATGAGATGGGTGTTGGGTTTGTTGTTGGGAAATGGTTAATAATATTGTTGGTGTTGACTGAGCTTCAAAATGAATGTGACATTGGTTCTTCTTAGCAAAAATTTATTCTATGTACAGCACACTTACTTCCCATTAAAAAAGTTACACAGTTAATTAATGCATGTTCACCAGCATAGACCTTTTCTCACACATGTATATTAAATTTTGAAACAGCCTTAAGTTTGCAGTGCAAATAATGGTTTCCCCATGAGCCATTTGAGGATAAGTTGCTGATGTGATGTTTTATCACCCTCGAAAACTCGATCATGTGTTTCCTACAAACAAGAACATTCTCGTCCATAACCATAAGATAGCAGTCACAAGCAGGAAGTTAACACGGAAGCATGCCTACTCCCCAGTACTTCAGTCCTGTTCCTGTTTTGCCAGTTAATCCAGCAATGGCCTCTGTAGAAAAATATCTAATCAGAACCTTGGGTCATAACGGATTGTATCTTCAGTCTCTTAATACAGAACAGTTCTTAGTCCTTTTTGACTTTCATGACCTTGACATTCTTGAGGATTGCAGGCCAGTCATTTTGTGGAATGTTCCTCAATTTGGATTTGTCTGATGTTTCCTCATGATTAGATTCAGGTTTTGCATCTTGGCAGGAATATCACAGAAGAGCCAGATTATATCTTTTTGAAAGATTAGTTTTACATTTTATTTTCTGTTTCCTTAGAGCGTTTCCCAAAGTGTATTCTGCGGAACTAGCACCTACTGTGTTCTCAACACCGTGCCACCTATAGAAGGTAGGATTTGAAAAAGCTTTTGACTTACAGGAAGGGGTGGGCTTGACAGTGAGAGTAATTATCATCTAGTGCAGTGGAAATAGCCTTCAGCCCAGACTCAGAAGACCTGGGTTCTGCACTTAACTGCTGTGTGATCTTAGATGAGTTACTTAATCCTTCTGGGGTAGCAAAAAAAAATTCTCTCTCTTCGTAAAGTTTCGGTGGGGATTAAAAAAGGCAAAAGATTTAATCACACAGAGAAGTCAAAGCACTTTACTAATGTTTGATACTAATACAACAGTTCTATAATTCTGGTGTCCAATACCAGGTGACTTAGAGTAGGAGCAGTGTGGTATTGTGGGAAAAGCCACAGGCCATGTTTGAATCCCAATAGCTGTGATCTTGGGCAAATTAATCTGAGCCTCACTTTCCTCCTCTGTAAAATGGGGATAATTAAGCCCTTGTGTTTTATTGTGAGGATTAAATGAAAGAGTGCAATGTAAGATCCTTTCTGGGTGCCTGATACACAGTAGAGTCCCACAGATGTTTACTTCCTAATAAATAATGGAAAATATATTTACTTAATCACGTGTACCTCCAGTTGGAATTGAATGAAGTAGAGCGAGAGAGAATGCCCCCAAACCCAACTTGAAGTGATGAATTGCAGGGCTTCTGTGCCCCCACTTTATCTGTCCCCCCACTTTATCTGTCCCGTCTTACATACTTTTAGATTGAAAATGTAAATGTAGATTAATAGTGAGTTTATTGAACCTGAGTTATGAGTTGACCTAAACCTGGACCCGAGATTTGGTAATTTGATCTATAGGAAAAAGGTAAATCTGGGCTACCTAAAAATAGAAGCGGTAAGATTTGATGATCACACAACTCTAAGAACAGGAAGGGGATTGTTAAATAGCGAAACTAATTATTTTTTCTACTTAAAAAGCTGTTAGTTTCTGTTTTTTAACCTTTTAAAAATCTTTTGGAGAATTACTACTGGGCTTAATACACTTTGGAGACTTTGGAAAAGAATAATGCAAAATCAGATCGATGTTTGGCACATAGTGCTTAATTAATATTTATTTGGATATATGGTGATGTGAAGGTCTTAGGTTAGTAATGGCAGTATTTGCTGCTGTGAGCATTATGCTGACTCGAATATAACAATGTATGTTTATGTTTTCCTCAGTCAGCTCCTATCCTACTAATTAAATCTAAGCACATAATAATTAGAGCTAAACAGAGAATTGTAGAGCTTCTTTTTGATTTTGCTACTCATGTTGTTGATGAAAGATATTCCCAATAAGATTTAGCAATTTGATACACTGTTACACCAAACTGTTTGGTGAACAGTTTGGTCTAGAGTTTGAAAGATTAATTGTAATCAACTTGATTGAGTAACAGTGTTCGTCATTATTCATAGAACCAAAATTATTTAATTTTTATTATGAATCAAAGTAAGATGAATGTATCATTTCTAGGTTAGTTAATATAGTTAAAATTTATCTTGGCAAAAGTCAGAATTTTCAAAGGAAAAGGTCAGATACATTTCTTTGGATTTAAGTAAAGGATTTGGCAATATGAATCTTAGTTTTCTGAAACAAAACATGAAAACAATAATTCTGCTTTTTGTCTAAGTGAATGAGCATTTTTGTGCATTTTGGGAAGTTTTAGTTATACTATAACTTGTAGGTTGACAGAAACGATGGTTCATTCTCTAGAATTACAGCTGTCAGCCAAGCAAATCATCTGTCAATTTCAAGAGCCTCACTAGTTATTTTTTTTATTGTGAAGTTGGTTGGAAAACTATTTTGTAAAGTCTAATATCATGTATATTTTGTTAGATAATGATAATGAAATGTTTTACTGTCATTTGGTTGACACTCCCACTTTTCAGTGTCAAAGTTTAACTATTTGTATTGAGTACTGAATGATGCAGTGGAAACCAGTGTATGCCTTAATTTTACTGTTCACTCAAGATTCTATTATTAGGATTTAAAAACCGGCACATGTATTTGGTTATTTTATCCTTTTTAGTTATTCTGAACACATTAAAAAGCAAGTTTTAGTTGAAAAACACATTTTTATACCATAGAGCCATGTGAACAGTTCTTTTTTAGTATAAAATCAGTTTCTCTTTATCCCACTTCACCTGTAGAAACACTGAAATTTAAAAATATGAGTTTTAACATTTTGCCTATTTGAAATTCTACTGATTCTTTTCTCAATATTAAACTTGCAATCCTTATAATGTAGTAGGAAAATTGACCCATTGTTATGTTTCTTAAAAACATCCAATTTATATTCAGTGTGAACCTAAAATTCTGCAAATGGTATAGTTTAAAAACTGATTAAGCGGAACCCATTGGCCAGTCATATTCCTATTCCTTGTGACTCCATGGCCACACCTCCATGTAAAGTGTAATGTTTAGAAACTAGATTGAGAGGGTGCTTACACAGCCCTGTTCCTTTTCCTCTTTGGGCACTTTTACCATTGCCTGATTTGGTATCAGAGTGGAAGAGTGAAGCCTTTTCTATAGCAGTTAATTGTGCTATCGAGAAGAGTACCTTTACTACACACATAAACAATACACACATGCACGCACGCACACGCGCACTTTATATACCACACGGTAGCTGGGTTCCTCAAAGAGGTGAAAAGAACAGAAAATTAACATCAGATTGTGATCACAAGCATAGAAGCTGTGGCTTAATATTCTGCTCATAAATGTTCAGAATTGTACTTTAAGCTGATAGCTTTCTTAGAGATATGACTATTCATATACAATTCAGAGCAAGCTCATCTATTGAGCAACTAGTATAGTGCCGTTTTCAAAAAAGGTACCTGTAAATGTTGAATATTTGAATTGAATATGGATCTTAGAATTCACCTCTATTTTCAGAATTGTACATATCATGGGGGATTTTTAAAAATGATAATAAATCTACTTTAGGGGAAGAGAGAAGGGAGGTAAAGGCTCATGTGATTTGGTATTCTCTGCTTTAAAGTTTTATGGCCCATGGTACCTCCCTGGGGAGGATGAAGTGCAGGGAGCATGCATAAGCACATAAAATTACCAAGGTTTTAGAGTGTGTAATTAATACAGAACTTTCTGTGAACTTTCTTGTAGTTGAACAGTTTCATTTTGGTTTCATAGCAAGATTTTTGAAAAGTTTAATCTTATTTTCCTATTAAATTAAAAATTTGAGGTTCTTAAAAGCAGTCAGTTTTTAGATATTTAAAGTTTTTATACTGCTTATAGAAATAGAGGACTGGTATTATAATTCAATTGGTTGTGTAGTTCATGGACCAAGAAAGATTTAGTATGCTAAAACTCTCTAAGTTCATCTCTATAAAATCTTTCTATATGATGTAGTAAATTTTTTAGACTTTATATCTATGCCCAGTATTTTCCTTTTAAGATCTTTTCTTCGAGAAGAAATGTGTTAATCAGATGAAAAATGTTTGGAGGGGATTTTGTGACCTTAGAAAAAATTTTTTATTCTTTGATGTTTTTTACCTGTTTAAAAAGATAGATTGTATTAAACAAAGTTATAGGAAATGACTGGAAAAAGTTATTGTTGCATTTCACTTTTAAGATTATTAACTGATTCCTGTATACTTACATAAGGTTGCTTAATTGTAAGGCATATTAAGTTATTTAATGACAGTAAATTTTATAGGGATTTTTGTCTGGAGAAGAATCAGAGTTAATCTAATCTTATTAATTTGGGAAAACTAAAAATATTAAGTAACTTACCCAAGGTCACACAATTAGAAAGTAGCAGAACTGGGCCAGATCTTGGACTCTTGACTCTGAGTTCAGTGTTACAAAGCCTTATTCTATCAGGAAAAGTTGTTTCAACTGTAACTTACTGGAGCAAATTAAGTCCTTCATGTTTTAATGTGTTGCTCCTTAGTACCTAGTTATATGTTACACTCTTCGTATATTGGGGATCTTATTTAGCATGAAAAAAACTGGAATGAATAATTTGAAACTTTGACCTAAATGTGCCAAAGCTTGCAAGAAATTTTGAGCCAGGCAAAGGAACTTTGTTTATAGGAATGAAATAATAAATGATGTATAAGTAAATAAATGAGTGAAATAAATGCTATGTAAAGGAAATGATTTCTTGTAGAAAGCATCAGGTAGACTGATTATTAGGTAGTCAGACATACCATCTAGTCTGAAAGTAATTAATTTTTCTCTAACTCATTTAGAAGAGTTACATTTTGATGAAACACATTAATTATGTAGATATGTATATGTAAATCAAGTTAATTAAAATGATGTTTTTATGTTCAGGCCTAGAAAGGCTAGCTTCTGTATTACCTGGGTAGCTAACTGCAGACTTAAATCTCTTGGATTTATAAGATTTGTGATTTGCTTTTTGAAAGGCTAAATCTCATGTATGTTCTAGGGGATAAAGTAGTATTTACGAACAAAATAGTCATATTACTATAATTCTTCTTACCTAAGAAACTTAACATTTTTTCAACTGCTTAATAAAAGATTTTTGGGTTTTGTGAGGTTAATTTTATAATTTTAATGTGCTTCATTGGAAACATGGGGAAAGAACCTTTAAAAATAACATTCTGGTTATGGGCAGCTGCTGGGATTTTCCCTATTCACTCACGTGTCATGGAGCACAAGCCCGATCCTATTTTAAAACCTCTTGACCAGATTCCTGCTGCCATCTATCTGATAAATGTGTAAATGAGTATTGCTAAGAGGAATAGTGGGGCCTCTGATGCTCTTGGTCTCACATTGACTAAGCTGAGCTGCTATTTCTGACCTTGCCAGTGTACTTTAAAGGAGATTTTCTCTATTATTTTCTCTAAATTTATTGTTTTCTTCTTTATAGATGATCATGGGAACAGCAATAGTAGTCATGTAAAAATCTTTTTACCGAAAAAGCTGCTTGAATGTCTGCCGAAATGTTCAAGTTTACCAAAAGAGAGGCACCGTTGGAACACTAACGAGGTAGATAAGTTTTTTTTAAGGGTATAATTATTTTAAGGGCAAATTTTTTAGGTTGTTTTGCATAATCCTACTTTATATTAGCTTTAAATTTAAAATACTGACTTAGGAAATTGTAAATGAGATTATTTAATATGATTTGACAGAAACCAACCAACGTGTTTTTTGATCTTTCTCTGATCTGCTTGATTTGCGTTGAAAGATATAAAATGTGCATGTTGACTTAACTAAATTAGCATGAGTTTCTGTTTTCTTGCATTTTGATGTCTTGCATTTAGTGGTTAATTGCATGCCAGTTAAACATTAGTTCTTATATCTCATAAATTAATAAATATACAGTCCCAGTGTTCCACAGAATGTGTAATATCTTGGCAATGTGAATTTCTGTAGAGTTGGAAAGGGCAGGCTTCGTGTGACTGAAATGGCTTTTCATCCTTTCTAATGAAGAAAATTTGCTTAATGCTAAGAATTTTTATTAAGAATGAAGGCTGAAAAAAAAAAGAATGAAGGCTGTATAGTAGATTATTTATTTGGCATCCAATTAGAAAGTAGATTTATGAAGTAGAATGAACAAACGTTCATCATCTTGGATGATGTTTCCTTTTTGGGTAAATTTTAATCTAGGAGTCTTACTGTTAGGAGTAGATTGCTTTGTCATCTTTTTTATTTTGAAATCTGAATATTTCAGTTTATAGTAATGCCCATTTAGTGTGGTGATGAGAATTGGGTATATGTCCATCAACTTGAGAGTTATTATTCCTTTAATTCAAATGGCTGAGGTTGCTGGTTTTTCAAGTTGGTCTAAATCTATTTATGTGCTGGCTCAACATTGATGTCCAAGTTAAGGTAAGGTAGCACTCTTCCCTTATTGGATACTCAGTTCTGTTAAAAGACGCAAGAAGAAAAGAGTGCTGCCTGTCAAGCCTTATTTTTTAAAGATTCTTTGGCACTACTTCCTGATTCAGAACGCTTTTGTTTTGCATGGTGAGAGGTTGTGTGGATGAATCTCTTTCCTTATCACAGGTTAGATTTAAATACTTACTGGAACCTTACAGCTTTGTTACCTTGTCTCAACTGATTGTAAAATTCTTTGAAGTTCTGTAAGTTTTGATCATTTGCATAACTTACATTTTCCCCCTTACACAGAATGCTTTTGCTTTGACAGACATTTGCTAGTTTAGAGGCCTGCTGTTTAACCAGTTATTTATTAACTATTTCAGACATTTTTAGACGTGAAAATTAAGTAAATATGCTGAAAATTAGTCTTAATCATAGATTGTTACTCTATCAGGAAAATGGTATTATATCATTTGGAAGCCATTTAATAAGTCAGAACTTATGAATTATTTAAAAACTCAATGTATTTCTTAGTATTCCCTGAAACATAGATTTGATACCATATTATTATATATATTAACTCTAGTGTACTTCTAAATGTAACCCAACCCATAAGTATATATTTTTCAGTATTATATTTCTTGTAGAATTGGCAGTTAATTTTTTCCCATAGGCCCATGTCTTGTGGCAGTTGATTTTAATGATGATTTGACATTATATTTGAAACCAGAAATTGCTTAGTGAATTAAAATCAGTGGCCTTAAGAGTCTTATAAAACTGGATGTAGCAATGTTAGGAATTTAGTTGGTAAGTTTTTTCAATCAGTGGCTTCAAAACTTTTTGAAACGCATAACCCTTCAACTTTCACATATTTATTTACCTCTAAATTATTTACGTGTATATTAGATACATTTTAAAGCATAGCGGATGAGATTAAAAGAAAAAATGAGAAGTTGTTCTTTATTTTTTTCTGGACCTCAGTCCACATAACTCCCTTGGAGACCATAGGCTGCCATAGTTCACATTACAGAGAGGAAAATGCATCTTTTTCTCTGACTGGTAAAATGCAAAATTGGATGATCTAGATGGGAAAATGTGGATTGGTCTGTGTAAGCTGTCACTCATGCTCAAATCTAGGTAGAGGAGTGTATGTTCCAAAGGGTAGAGGCCGCAGAAGGTGGCACAGCTGATGAGTGAAGCCATACATCACCCTTTCCCTTGGGACGGGCTGTTCTTTCAGTTAATTGTCAGCTCAGCTGACAGAAACTCTTAAGAGAGAACTCAAATTACAGGTTGACTAATTTCTCTGTAGAGGACCTTACCTTTTTTCTTGTTTTTTTTTTTTGGCTTTGGGAAAATAGGGGAATATTAAGTGTGACGCAGAAGACTTACCTTACAAGTTGTTAATCTGCAGAGTGTTATGTGGCAGTGATAACCTGTCATTATTATTATTATTTTTTTTAACTTGCTTGGATAATGGGAGGAATGAAACAATTAGTGCTGTTATAAAAGCACTTCTTTGCCCTAGCTGGGATTGGCATTTTCTTACATTCTTTAGCCTGCCGCCCTTCATGTTGGCTTGAAAACCTAAGGGAAACGTAGTTCACTGGACTTGTTTCTCATTGGGGCTTCGTGCTCCTATGTAATGCTAAATCATATTTAGTCAGAATTGCCTGTGAAATCCCTTGACTTGCTCATAAAATGTAGTCAAACTGCCCTTGTTAAAAGGCCATTTTGCTTCCAGAGTTGGAATAGATTTCTGTGTTTGGTTGAGGACCACATGAAGTATTTAGAAGCTGTGTTGTACAAAAACTCTATTTTTTAGATCCCACTTAAGGGGCTCACACTGGAAGAGGCGTGTGGGAATGCGTGCAGTTGAGAGCACAGTAGATTTGTGTTTTCCATCTCACTCTCTGCACAGCATATGTTCACAAAGTAAGACTGGTGGCTGGAGCTGCCTGTATGAAATGTCAACTGTCATCTTTCTCTGTTTTCCATGTTCATGAGCGTGCTTGCTCTCTCTCTCTCTCTCTCTCTCTCTCTCTCTCTCTCTCTCTCTCTGTCTTTCTCTTTCTGCTGGATGTGTACAGTTGAATTGCTGGATATAATGTGACTTCTTCATACTAATAAGGAATTGCTTTACTCAGACCTGTGTTTAAGTATTTGTGGTTGTTTGAGAAAACCTTTTATACTGTGGGTTTATGTGTATGTGTACGCACGTGCATTTGTGTTGTGAATGAGATTGTGCCTATTCCATCCTGCCATTTATTGAGCACCTGTTCTTGACTAGTGACTGGATACCTTATATCATTATTTGTAAGCCTTATAATGATATTGCAAGGTGGGTTACATTTCCTTTTAGAGATGAGGGAGTGTAGGTAGAAAGTAGTTATTTTTTGGTCAAGATAGCATACTTCATAGAGCCTGTCTCTGAGCTTAATTTCTTCTGTGTTGCTTGTTAATTCTTTGGAACTTTCATTCTGTTGTTTACTGTCCAGGCTTTTAATCAAAGGCCTACAAACCTAAACTACAGCAAGTCTATTCTGTAATGTACTTTTTTTTTTTTTTAATTTGAGACAAGAGTCTCACTCTGTCGCCCAGGCTGGAGTGTGTGGTGTGATCTCTGCTCTCTGCAACCTCCACCTCCCAGGTTCAAGTGATTCTTGTGCCTTAGCCTCCTGAGTGGCTGGGATTACAAGGCATGCGCCACCATGCCTGGCTAATTTTTGTATTTTATAGTTTTGCAGAGATGGGGTTTCACCATGTTGGTCAGGCTGGTCATAAACTCCTAACCTCAGGTGATCCACCCCCTTCAGCCTCCCAAAGTGCTGGGATTATAGGTGTGAGCCACTGTGCCTGGCCTGTAATGTAGTTTTGAATTAAGAAGAGTTAATATAGGATTAGTATTGTGGGTTCATGTGCAAATGTTTGGTGAAGCTGAAAGTCACTAAAAGGAGTCTAAGGAGAGATCTTTGGGCCTACTTAAGCTACTTTTAACCTTTTCTAATCCAATTGAATACCTAAAATCCTCTCCCTTCTTGGATGTTATTTACAATTACAGAATAAATTAAATGTTATATCTTAAACCAAATCAGTTTTAGATTATGCTCCCTCAACCACAAACTCCATTCCTCAGGTTGTAAAGATGACGGAGTGAAGGTGGTGGGTGCTAAGCTCACTAATTGTGGAAGCTAGCATTTCTTGAATATCTTTTGTATGCTAGGCACTACTGAGTCCTTTACATGAATAATCACATTCTATCTTTGAATTAATCCTATGAGGTAGATTATTTGACTGTCCTCATAGATGAGGAAGCCTTGGATATGTTAACTAATGTACCTGGAGTAAGAGCCGGGAAGTGGGGGACAGGGGAGTTCAGCCCCTGCAGCCTGGTTTTGAGTCCCATAGTCCCTGGTTTGGTTCCACAGATCAAGACCAAGGTGACTTTTCCAAGATCTTGTAGCTGTTTAGTGACTTCTAATCCCTTTGTTTTATAGAATTGTTTGGCTTCTTGATCTGATTGTAAAATGTTGTAACAAACTTAACGTATTTTTGCATTATAATTTTTGTAGAAATTGGCAGATACTCATTTCTTAAGAAAGTAGTTTTGATTCCTTTTTTAAAAAAATCTTTTCTTGTATTTTGATAGCTTTAATTCTTAATAATGACTATTAGGATATGGACTATGGATAATGAAAAAAACAATATTAAAAATAGAAATTTTGTTTTGTATCTGTGTGTAACTTGAGCATTAGGCCTGACTTGTATATTTAGGGCAGGGGAGAAAGAATGTATTAAACACAGAGCACAGTCATTAAAGAACCAGCTCTTGTTTCATAATCTGTTTGGTGTTCATATTTTCATCAGGTGAACTACTATAAGTTTTATGCATTTTAAGTTAGTATTTTTAAGGCCCAGTGCCAGAAATAATTATGCTAATGCTACTGTCTGAATTCACAAATGACTACTTCATAATTACGTATATTAGTACTCCATATATGTTGTCCAGACTGAAAATTCGTTTGTTTAGTCATTAATTAGCTGTTTGACTTAAAATATAACTACTGCATTCCCTAGTCTCTGGATCTAGATTTCACTTGGCATTCTTCCAAAGCCAAACTAATGCAGCACCATGAACCTTTTATAATGAAAATGTTCTCCCTAAA